TCTAAAACATGCAGGATTGCGGCCCTCGAGGACCGGATGTCGACACCCCTGATCTAAATGGTCCACACTTAGCAACTTTTTAACCTGAGCTAGGCTCTACAAAGGTCATTACAATGCATTTCTTATTCTACCACTTAAGCATACACACACACTAATGTTGGACTCACCGGACTCTCTGGTTTCCTCCCACAGTCCAAAAACATGTTGAGGTTAATTGGTGATTCTAAATTGTCCATAGGTGTGAATGTGAGTGTGCTTGGTTGTCTTTCTCTAAGTGTAGCCCTGTGATAGACTGGTGACCTGTCCAGGGTGTCCCCTGCCTTTGCTCTGAGTTGGTGTATTAAAAATTAATGGATGGATGAATTAACTGAATTATGTGTGTATGTAATTAGGCCCCACTCCCCCCCGCAACCCTAATGAGGATTAAGTGGTGTAAAGCTAATGGATAGATGGGTAATGTTTAGGGTTCCCTCTCTTGCCCATGCACATGAAGAGGCCAGGGAACAAACCACCAATTTCACTAGTGGACAACCGACGAGCCATGGCCACCTCTGTAAGGTGATAACTATGGTTGGATGTCAAGGCCCAGTATTAAACGAGCCCCAGGGTGAAAGTTTTCAATACAGAGGGACCAATAAGCTGCGGCGTTGCCAGTTATGCTAATGGTAATTTACAAAGTCCGAAGAACGTTGTGTGTCAGAGCTGCGACAAGTAATGTCAGTCTGCAGACCAGGAGGCTGCACTTTCAGGACCACGCCAACAGGACCGCACTTCTAGGACCTGTGGCATTTGTGTCACCTGGATGCCAAAGTAAGTATAATCATTTCTTGCCATAATGGACAAAAGTTACAACATCAGTACTGATTGTAAACCATTTTATTGTTTAACGTTGTTACGTTTCTGATGTCTGCATTTGCACAGCAAAGCTGTTGTTAACCTGCCAAAGTGTGTGAAACAAATGATGTTTTCAGTCATCATTAAACACTACACAAGGTCACATTTTGTCTAATGA